CATGTTTATGTGCTATTTGTTATGATTGTTGTGTCTGCTCTTGATAAATCTTCTTGTTTTTTTTCTCGGGTTTTCATAAGGTATCTAACTCCATGTTATATTTGTCATTGGATACTTATATTTAAAAATAAATCTTTTCGTCTTAATTGTGATAATAGAACCTACCGTATACTTATAATATTTGCTTTATTTCTTGAAATTCAGCCAACTTTTGCTCACTAATAGCATTATTTGTATATGTATAGATTACCTCTCTGAATAGGTTATCTCCCTTACACCACTGATAATCTGTAACTATTCATTATTTTTCTTCTTATACATGTAACTTTAGGTTACTAGTATATGAATAAATCTTAAAATATAACATGATTGTCTCAAATGATTGATTTCATGTTCTGTCTGTATATAAATATTTGTATATATGTATTTAAAATAATTAATTTGTTTATCTGCTTCAATTGATTTTTTTACACTTGTAGTTGAACATGTTACACTGAATTCAAGAAACTACTGTTGTTAATTGTTTTGATAATACTCAAGTTCAGTATACCACTCCCTATGAAATTATATTTAAAATATCAAATTGATGCTTTCCACATTCTGAGAATATTATTTTTCATTAGTCCCTACTGTTATTTCTTTCCTCAAGTCTCTGCTTATTTATTTATTGTTATTTTTTTTTATTTTTTTATTTTTTTTTTCATTTTTTGGCGTGTTAGTAGTTTGTAAGTATGTTTGTGTGTGATTGTAAGCTATACTATAGTTCTTCCTCTATTACTGCCTGTAATACCAATATGATATCACTACATGTATACTCAAGATATTTTATACATTCTGTTTGTTATAAAACTTCTACTTCTGATGTCTGGAAATATTCACTCTAATCCAGGTCGCTCATCAATCAGTATTAATCAAAGAAACTACTATAATGATTTATCAATAATGCACTTAAATGTTAGGTCTCTTCGGAACAAGGTTGATCTTATAGATACTGAATTCACTGACTATGACATCCTATGTCTTACTGAAACTCACCTGAATAATGAAATAACTGAATCTGATTTGCAAATTAACTCACATCCCAACTCATATCGTAGAGACAGACAATCACAACACGGTGGTGGTATTATGATATATACTAAAAACAACCTCTTAATAAATCACAGAACTGATCTTGAAACTGAAGACATAGAACTTGTCATCCTAGAAATTAACACTTCTAACAAAAAAATACTTCTCTGCTGTCTTTATAGACCTCCTAATACAAAAGTAGATTACTGGAATAAACTTGATAACATTTTAGATAATCTTTCTAATACTAATCTTAATATCATTATCACTGGTGACATAAATATTGACTTTATCACAATGAAACCTAATTCACATCTTGCAAGATTAATTACTAAATATCACTTAAAAAACTTAATACAATCACCAACACGCATTACAAACACTACTGCTACCTTAATTGATGTATTTATTACTAATAATGTAAACATTTTTACCTCAACAAATGTACTTTCCCCTCTCTGTAGTGATCACTGCCCCATCCTTGCTAACATTTGTTTTAAGACACTAAAAAATAAACCATTCAAGAAACCTATATATAAGTTCAATGAAGCTAATTGGGATGCTATTAATAATGAACTACTTAGTAATGATTGGGATTCCATAGTTAATAACACTACTAGCATTAATGAACTATATTCTACTATTATAAACAAAATAAACTCTGCTACTAACTCTCATATACCTCACAAAACAATTACTGTCCATCCTGATGATAAACCTTGGATGACTGGTGAAATTCGGCATAAATTAAGATATAAGAATAGATTACATAAAAGAGCTAAAAATAAAAATAGGGAACAAGATTGGGCAAAATTTAGAACTTGTCGCAATGACACTATACAAATTATTCGGCAATCCAAAGAAAATTACTTTAAGAAACTTCAAAATTGTCTTGCCGACAAAACAGTGCATCCAAGAAAATGGTGGCAGATAGCAAAATCTATAGGAAAAATGAATAACACTAGCACTAATTCTTATCCTCTAAAATCTAACAATAAAATATTAATCCATCCACAAGATAAAGCTGAGGCACTAAATAACTTCTTTACCACCATTGCCTCTGATATTACTGACACTAACCTACCTGATTTACCTCCCTTATGTCCATTTGAACTTTCTGACATTAACATTACTGAACAAGATATAACTGACCAATTTGACATTTTTAATAAAAACAAACCAGCTGGTCCTGATGGTATTTTACCTATGATTGTAAAGAACATTTCTGCTTCTTTAGTATACCCACTCAAACTATTATTTAATAGAACTTTATCTATTGGAGTAATACCTGATGTACTAAAAACGGCTAATGTTACTGCTCTCTATAAAGGTAAAGGAGATATCAGTGATCTCAATAATTATAGACCTATTGCTATTACATCTATTTTTATCAAAATGTTAGAAAAAAATATTTTTAAATATACGTTTAATTATATTTCAAGTCACAATATGTTAAGTGTACATCAGTCAGGATTTCAACCCAAAGACTCCACTACTAATCAACTAGCTGATATCTATAATACTATAAGTGGCAATTTAGACCAAGGTAAAGATTTGCGTTTTGTTTTCTGTGACATAAGTAAAGCATTTGATCGAGTATGGCATTTGGGCCTATTATATAAACTAAAAACATATGGTATTAAAGGTAAATTATATAATTGGTTTAAAGCTTACTTATCTGACAGAAAACAAAGGGTTATCTTTGAAGGTTATAAATCTAGTACCAAACCTATGTCTGCAGGGGTTCCTCAAGGATCTGTCCTTGGTCCCTTCCTCTTTCTTCTTTTTATTAATGATATTACTAATAATGTAACTTCTCATATAAAACTCTTTGCAGATGATACCTCTCTCTATGTAATAGTAAATAATAACAATGACCTTACAACACCTACTAACATGCTTAATGATGATCTTGACTCAATCTCTGAATGGTCAAAGCGATGGCAGATCCTATTCAATCCGAATAAGACTGTAGCTATTAACTTCTCTCGTAGACACATTAACAATCATCCTCAACTGCTATTTAACAATACTCCAATTGCACAACATGAACACCATACTCACTTAGGACTAACATTTAACAGTAAAGGGACATGGTCAGATCACATTTCAAATATTTATAAGAAAGCGAACTCTAGACTAAGTATTCTTAGAATTTTAAAAACTACAGTTGATAGGAATACATTAAAAACATTATATGTCTCTTATATAAGACCTGTGCTAGAATATTCTGATATAGTATGGGATAATTGTACCAAATCGGAATCAGATCTTTTAGAATCAGTTCAACTAGAAGCTATGCGTTTAATTACTGGCCTCAGACGAGGTACATCTCATCATATTCTGTATACTGAAACACAACTTGAAACATTACACACACGAAGACAAAATCATAAACTAACATTAATGTATAAGATTCTTAATAATTACACTCCAACTTATCTCGATAATATCATTCAACCATTTCTAAATGTAAATAATAACTATACCTTCAGAAATAACAGATTCTTTAATATACCACAGACAAGAACTACTACTTATATGAATAGCTTCTTCCCTTCTACAATGGTAAAATGGAATGCACTTGATAGCACTGTACGAGACTCCATCTCAATTTCATCTTTTAAAAAGAAACTTAAAAAAACCTTTGATACATCCGTCTCAGAAACTTTTATTAACTGTGTTCCGAGGAAACTTAACATAATTTTATGTCAGCTAAGAAATTTTAAAAGTGATCTTAACTGTGATAAGTTACAAGACCATCTGATTGATGATGCTTCCTGTGTATGTGGTGTACAGAGGGAAGATCTAATACATTTTTTCTTTCAATGTCCTCTGTATTCTAATATTAGGCATCATATTACCACTATTTATAATCTAGTAGGATATTTAAATCTGCACTGTTTAGTATATGGTATTAGTAATGCATCCAACCAATTAAATAAAACTATTCTTATACATGTTGACTCTTATATTAAATCATCAAAACGTTTCGTTACTTATACGTGCTAGATAAATTTCCAAATGAATATTCATGTATTGTTATAATTATTGTTATTCAGGCAAGTTTTATCCCTTAAATAACGAGTATTAGACATAAGCTGGTGTGGGTGTGGGTGTGCATGAGTGTGAGAGGAAACGAATCACAACATTTTATATATTTAAGCATTGTACATATCTACCGGAATTAGAAGAAGACTGATATAGGCAAAGCCTGTTGTCTTATTCTTTTGTCAATACTGTTCAAATATCTCCTTTAATGTTAACTTATATGTTTGTATTATATATGTATTGTCAATAAAATACTTTGAAATTGAAAAAATCAAAATGGACTTATATTACCATGACAATTGCGTAGACTAAGGATTAGCCCAATACCTGTCCCAAATACAATGTACCATGGAGATATATTATTATACATATGAGTTTGTATGACTTCTTGATGACACAATCTGGACTATGCACACATTGTTACTGATAATTAAAGTAGCTAGTGGAAGGAAAATCTCAATGTGTTTACTTTAAACAGTATTTAGAACGATTGCCTTGATATTGAGAAGTGACTTGGTATGGACGTTTTGGCGATGATTCCTTAGAACATAGACGTGCTATTGACTAAGAGATCACTTTGCCGATCCGTTTTGAAGTTCAGTAGACATAGCTGGGTTATTTATGTACAGTATCGTTGGCCCTTTGTATAGGGACTAGGCCTAACGTCACATCCACAAACTTGGTGAAGGCATGAACGTTATGTTAAGATATGAAGAAGGATACATCTGATTAATTTGTCCACACGTTTTTGTTTTTTTTTTCATCACGCATACATACCTATCCTATAGTTCAACCGCGATACGTGGATAACGTTTTTAGTTTGGTAACCTCACATGGTAGCTAGCTTGGATTCTGTAATTTTGTTTCAATACGCATGCGCAGTGAAAATGGAATTTTGACTTCCGTCAACAAACAATTCTTCAGACGCTGACTGTAAAACTGGCTGTGTTTTGCATAAAGAACCTATTTCCATCTGTCAGATGGAGGACGACGCACTTGAACGGTACTTTACGTGTCTTTGTGTATTTCTAGATATCGTGTTAATGTGAAAGAAATTAATATGAATGCAATAGAAACCACGGAATTAGATTAGATTGCTATTTAAGTCCGTGGTGAACTAAACGCAATGTTCAATAGTTGGTTGTAAAATGAACTTATTAAAATGTATTCATTACAGTAGACTAACTGCCGCCGATTCAGTAATACCCGATCGACCCGCTCTACCTTCATACAATGTTTTGATGTTGAAGGATACTTAACTTTAAAGTCAGGTCAACACGACAACAAAGTCGGACCAACATTAATTATATTTCACAGGAAATGCTTTATTTCTTTAAATATGTTAGCAGTTTACCTGTTTCAGTTATATGTCATTATAATGCATACTGTAGTCTTACAACATAACAGGAGATGGACAAATTAATGGCACCAAGGTTCGAACTTGAGACCCTGCGATCTCTAGACAGATGCTCTACCAATCAAGCTATACCTGGTTGCCGACATCCAAACAGTCAAATTCTGATACATATTTTGCCTCTCTCCTTTTTTCTTATTCTTCTCCTCTAATTTAAACAGAATAGTTACCATTTTGAAAATGCAGACCTTGTACCAACAGTTATCATACACTCCCACTGCAATAAAATCAGAAGGACAAGCACTTAAAAATGTATGTGTGTATGTATAAATTGTATCTTCATTTTAACATATTTATATTGTATGCATTGTTGATAGGTCTACAATATGCAATAAACCTATTTTTTTTCAGACTTGCAATTGAGGAGATACTTAAAGAAACAAAAAGGGGAGCTGAAAGAGCCAAAGAATTTGGTGCATTAGGATGGTATGTTTGTTCAATAAATTTGATGATAATAAGCCTGAAACTTTTCATGTTAGTGAAACCCTTTAATAGACTTATTTCTTCGTCTCATTTTGAAATAGGAACTTAAATTATTTGATCCCTGTACTACCACTGCAGAATTCCACTGTTTATACAGCAACCTCTACTTAATTTCATTTCGGATAAAACTGTAGCACATTTGAGCCAGGGCACTTCCATTGACCTGGTTGCTCAGTAGATTAGAGTGAGCTTCGTGGGTATAATTATCCGATGTCCAGGGTATGGATCCTGGTTTAGCCCAGCTGAACACTTGGTAAGCTGTTTTTGATTATATTATATTTAATCATTATAATTTTTTCATAAAAAGTCCACATAAATTCACATCAGAACACCAGATAATGTAACAGTATCGGTTTCATCGATATGCGTATGAACATGTATATATATTATAACTGCAGTAAATTTATCCTTACAGACGAAGAAATAATATAAAAAGAAAAAAATCTTAACAAGACATCTTTATAGCACTTTCATCTCATCAAGTAGATTCTTCCGACTGTTTATTTGAAGGTAAATTATGATGTGATATTATATATCAGCATACATTTGATTGTTATCTTTAATGATGCAGGCAGAAGCCACCTGCTCCAACAACAAACAAGAGATTCCTGACCAACATGATTCTAAGTTCTGTGAATGACGCAAACAGGAAGAAAAGAAAACATCCAAATGATTCAAATTCACCAAAGGAGGACAACTCTGAAAAAAAGTTAACAACTGAAAAGGACAAAGATTGCAAAAGACATAGACCTGAAAAACATAAGCATAAGAAGAAGAAAAAGAAACACAATCATTCTGCTGAAAGTCCTGAAAGTAAACACAAACACTCTTCAAAGAAGCATAAATCTGGACATAAACATAAGAAACACCACAGACATAAGGACAAGGTGAAGGAATGAGTGAAAGAGAGGAAGACTGGACAAGCTGAAGGAATGAATGACAGAAAGGAGACCCCAGCAATTCTTATAGAGAGACATAGAGTTACAGGAATATTGATAGATTATATAATTACATGAGCATGAAAATCAGAAATTTTGAATTTGTAAGCAAAGAAAACAAATATCAGTTGAGTATACATAAGAGACTGGACATGGAAATGTTCAGAAATAAATGGCCTGCATCTTCTTTTCTTAGGATATTTACCGTAAGTAAGAGCGATAGATGGATGTTCATGTGTGCTTGTGTAAGAGGATGTTTGTAACGTTTCATTTGCAAAATGTACAAGTTTGAAAGATGTAAGATGGACAATTTCAGCATAACTGAAAAAGAGTGATGGGCATTGTAATGTAGTATGTTACACTGGACATAAGTAAAGAGTGGTGGGCATTGTAATGTAGTATGTTACACTGGACATAAGTAAAGAATTTTACCAATTGAGTTTTCATACCTGTGGAAATTGATGGTGTGTAGTGCTTGATGAAATGCCAAAGAAATGCTCACATTTATTACTGTCTTAGATTGATACCTGTAGTTGTTCATAATGGACAGAGAAATAGATCTCAAGGCAGCAAAATATTAGTATGAAATTGTAGTTTTATTTTTGTTTCCTTAAATATCTCAATACTAGCACCAGTTTGATTTATTGAAATTTTATAAAGAAATTGATATTACTATTATTTTCTTATGTTTAACAGTTTTCCACATATTTTTCACGTTTATGAGGGCATGTCTAGTGATGTTTTTAGAATATTTGTCAATGATTGTAGTATTTGTGTATGTCAAGTGAAGTTATCTCCCTTCAATTTTCATCAAAAACTTGGTGGTAAAAATAGTAGTGGTGAGACAACAAAACGAATCTAAGAATTTTTTATTCAGAAACATGGCATGTAAATTTGGTTTCAATAAGAAACAGAATAAATCAGGATTTTTAATAAAATACCAGTTTCTGCACTTTCATATTTAATCAAGATTTGGTTAAATATTTGACATCTGAATTACGAAGTTTTAATGTGTGTGAAGCTAGATATTATGCATTTGTGAAGATATCAGATGCTCAAATTTGTCATGCTCCAAATGATTTCGCCCCATTTTTTGTTCGCATCGCCCCAGTTTACAGCTCAATTATAATAACCATATAATTACAGTGCTAAAATATGACACTCTGTTACAACAATCATCGACATGTTTACTATTAAAAAAAGCTACAAAACGATATAAAGGCGTAACAGTCAGCAAGCTCCTGTCTCTAGTTCAGTCTGTAGTTTAACTACATACCCTCATAAATGTTAAAAAGATGCATTTCAAACCTTAAATCTACGTTCTATTACATCCACTTTTATTATTTGAAAGTAAGAAAAAAATGTCTTCTTTCTCGTTAAAATACAAAACACCGTTATGAAAACAACATGAATTGAACCGCCTTTTTCGTGGGAAAGATGATGCGTTGTCAACGGTGACGAAATACACAGTAGAGCAATAAACAAATAGTTCCAGTTTGCATATTTTTTAATGATTTAATTTATATTACCAGCATGTTTAACAAGCATTGATTATCTTAAAAATTGACAGTATATCTTAATTTATAACAAAAATACTCTGTCAAATATTTTAGTTGCAAAAACTCAGAAATTTATTCCGTGTTCGCGGAGATAGCTGACCGTTTAAAACCGGTCGGCATCGGCTACGCTTTCAACAAGATAGAAAGTGCATCTGTGAAATGTGGAGTTTCCTAAGAAACCAGATGACGATTGAAAAGATGCTGTTGGCTGAATTCTTGTGTCTATCGACTGTGTCAACAGTACTAGCTCATCGTTTGAGCATTCGGACGCTAGTGTAGAGGACAGTTCTGTTCTGTTGAAAACAACCTGTTATAGGATCTAATAGCAGACACGCTTCATAAACATGATGTGCTTTGATTCAAAACCAGTTATTTCATATTCTAGGGACATGTCCACAATGTTGCTGTCAGATATATTGGCTGAAGCACAGGGGTTCGTTACAAGGAATGTGTGTGGCTGGAGTTAGGCCTAGCACACAATGTATTTTAGACGCTGAATGCACAGACTTAAATTTCTTTAAGGGTGATTTCATTAAAATGTATTTACATGTATTTTAACCGTTGATATTTGTGTGTTTGGGAGGGGGTCGGAGGTCGTGTAACAGTACATGTAGTACTGTTAATATTACTACAGTTGGTACTGTTATCTAGAAGCACTGAAGCAAAAATGTAAATATGTTAAGGTAAACAAAAATACACGGAGAACCTCTGGAGAACCTCTGTATAGACGGCTGGGTCTCTGGGAAATTTCTTTGTATAGAAAGTTCAGATCTGTCCCCTTAAATGTTGACTGGAACTATGGTTTGATGAAATAGGCTATACAGATTGTCCAAATCAATGGCCTTGACCCAATTTCAAATTTAAAGGGGTCAAATTTGTTTTTAAAAAAAATCAACACTTTAAAACAACTTCATTTTGATAACCAAGAAATACATGTCATGTAGCATTCTGGGATGAAGGGCTTAATTTGCCTCCTTGTGGGTGGGATGAGAAGGCTAGTGTGAGCCTTTGATGTACATCAAAAGAATCTTGCGTCGCGTAACGGTAAAACTTATTTGATTAGAAGTCTGGCGTCACTCCTCTGTTGTCTTCAAAGGACAAGTACGTATATACCAGCCTAGTGATTGGTCTTACACCAATTAAATAGCTAGCCGTGTGCCTTCAATTTTGCTATGACATAATCCAGAGGTGCAGATAGCGTAAGAGTAACCTTTGGATATCGAGGATAAGATTACAGAGGAGAGACCCACAACCTAAAAGCCTGTCAGTTTTAATTTTACCTTTTCGCGCGATTCTTTTGATGTACAACAAAGGATTTTACTAGTCCACTTGTATCATCCACAAGGTGGATACAGAGCCTTTGATTTTGTCAAGATATATTCCAAAGATGCTGAGAACTTAATAGAGCGTAACCGCTGAATTTCCAGAATGGATCTTGCTTCACTTTCAAGGTTATTTTGGTTATACGCGTTAAAAATTAGGGCAATGTGTTTTTGAAATGTCACGACTGCACCGACAATTATGCTTCTATGAGCTAATTGATGTACTTACAGCAACATATAAAACGAGTCCGCTATATGGTGATAACGTAATGTCATTTACATCTTTTCAAATAGCAAAAGGTACGCTTTGGAGTTGATATTTTTACAAGGGCAGGAAAATGTCATTTCTTTAAATTAGTATATATTAATATAAGGAACAGATGACGACATTTCCTGTAGCCTCCAATCTTGTCTTTTTTTTGTCATTCTGGTGTAGGTATCTGAAATCATAGATAAAAGCTGAAACCTCAAAACCTATAAAGATTCGTGATTAAAATGACGTTTTATTGTTTGGAGTAGTGAACATGTAAACTTCATTAGTTATGAGATAGTGGTTCGTTACCAAGGAAATATAACGGTGGCTAACTTAACATCACGTGATAGTGGTTCGTTACCAAGGAAATATAACGGTGGCTAACTTAACGTCACGTTTATGACGAAGACTGACAGTGAGGTACCCGTTATTGTCAGCATCTAGGTAGATGTCAAGACTTGAACGTATCTTTGAGGATGCCGTTGATTTTAATTTCCAATTCTGCCAAATGTTCTCGATATTCTTTTGATTAAAGATCAAAACGTCAACGTACTAAATTGAAATTTCTGAAATAATCCTTGAACAGTGTCAGAAGAATACAAAAAAATAAAAATGGATTGATGGGCGGTAAAACTGCTTTGGAATACGGATAGTATTGTTCGTCAACAAAGTCCAACATAATTTCAAAAATCTTATATCATCCGAATAACATCGTTCTCTACGTATTCCTTCAATCACAGTGGATGTGATTCAAATGAAAATTACATTTTTAGGTCACCTGAGCTTTGCTCAAGTGACCTATTCTAATCGCTTTCCGTCCGTCGTGCGTGAACGTTTTACATTTTCAACTTCTTCTCAAGAACCAATGGATGGATTTTTTTCAAACTTGGTCAGAATCTTCCTTGGTAGATGAGGCTACAAAATTGTAAAATAGGGATTCCTACCCCAACCCCTCGGGCCAGGGCGGGGCCCCAAAGGGAAAATTAACCAATATTTCAAAAACAATCTTCTCCAGACTCCGAAGGACTACAGTCATTTTCTCTGCATGGAAAGAAAGATCATCAGGGGCTTTATTTAAATCGTAAATACTAGGACCCGCAAGCTTTCCGTTCTCCCTTGGGGAGGGGGTAAAGTTTACTATAGTTTATAAGCTCACCTGGCCGGAAATTTACAATTTAAGTAAAGCCCCTGATGATCTTTCTTTCCATGTTGAGACAATAGGCCTGAATCGCTCACCTGGTATTAATCTCACAAATAATCTTTAAAGTGGACTAAAATACAGCTACAGGCAGAATATCAGTGTTTGACTCATAAAAACCTATTAAAAGATTTAAACATATGATGCCTGTGACCTTGAATGTCGAACAAGGACAAAGTTGAACAGAGTTTACAGTCGTCCAATTCAACCAAGCAGGCTTCTGGCAAAATATAATTACCCTGGACCTTTTGGTTATACAGAACAAGTCATTTAAAGATTTAAACATATATTGACCACTGTGACCTTGAAAATGGGTGTAGGTAATTTGTTTGGACAAACTTGATAGCCCTTCATCCCAGCATGCTAAAGGCCAAATATCATCACCCTAGGCTTCTTTGTTATTCAGAAGAGGTCGTTCAAAGATTTTAACATATTTGACCCCTGTGACCTTGGATATGAGCGAAGTTCATTCATTCGAACATATTTGGTAGCCCTTCATCCCAGCATCTAACTGGCAAAATATAATAACCCTAGGCCTCTTGGTAGTTCAGAAGAAGATGTTGAAAGGTATTTAACATATTTGACCCCTGTGACCTTGAAAATAGATGAAGGTCATTCATTTGTACAAACTTCGTAGCCCTTTATCCAAGCATGATACTGGCCAAATATCATCACTCTTAACCTTTAAGTTACTGAGAAGAAGTTGTTGAAAGCTATTTAACATTTTTGACCCCTGTGACCTGGAAAATAGATGAAGGTCATTCATTTAAACAAACTTGGTAGCCCTTTATCCAAGCATGTTACTAGCCAAATATCATTACCCTAGGCCTTTTGGTTATTCAGAAAAAGTCGTTCAAAGATTTTAACATATTTGACCCATGTGACCTTGAAAATGGATGAAGGTCATTCATTTGAACAAACTTGGTAGCCCTTGATTTCAGAATGCTACTGGCCAAATATCATCAGCCGAGGCCTTTTGGTCATTAAGAAGAAGTTGGTTTAAAGGTTTTAAACATATTTGACCCCTGTGACCTTTAATATATGTCGAGGTCACTCGTTTGAACAAACTTGGTAGCCCTTCATCCTAGCATGCTGTTGGCCAAACAGCATCATCCTAGGACTTTTGGTTATTGAAAAGATGTTGTTTAAAGGTTTTAAACATATTTGACCATTGTGACCTTGAATAATTGTCAAGGTCATTCAATTTAACAAACTTTGAAGCGCTTCATCCCAGCATGCTACAGGCCAAATATTATAACCCTCAGCCTCTTGGTTATTGAGGAGAAGTAGTTTTAAAGGTTTTAAACATATTTGACCCATGTGACCTTGAAAATTGGTGAAGGTCATTTGTTTGAACAAACTTGGTAGCCCTTGATTTCAGAATGCTACTGGCCAAATATCATCAGCCTAGGCCTTTTGGTTATTGAGAAGAAGTTGTTTTAAAGGTTTTAAACATATTTGACCCATGTGACCTTTAATATATGTCGAGGTCATTCGTTTGAACAAACTTGGTAGCCCTTCATCCTAGCATGCTATTGGCCAAACAGCATCATCCTAGGACTTTTGGTTATTGAAAAGATGTTTTTAAAGGTTTAAAACATATTTGACCATTGTGACCTTGAATAATTGTCAAGGTCATTCATTTTAACAAACTTTGAAGCGCTTCATCCCAGCATGCTACAGGCCAAATATTATAACCCTCAGCCTCTTGGTTATTGAGGAGAAGTAGTTTTAA